CATCCCGATGGCATCCCGGTGGCATCCCGCCTCCGCTCCAAGTAGCCATCCTAATGGCATCCCGGCTCCGCTCCGAGTAGCCATCCTAATGGCATCCCGACATCCCGACGGTATCCCAGCTCCACTCCAAGTAGCCATCCCGATGGCATCCCAGCTCTGCACGCTGCTGCTCCCCATCCCGCTCCTGGGCGCGGGAGCATCCGCGCCCCTGTGTTTTGGGACAGAAAGCCGGTTATTTACCCCACGCTCCGCTGGATTCCTTGCTCCGGGGCAGCAGGACTGAGGGAGATCCATGAGGGCTGCAGTGACAGAGGTGCCGGCGTTGGCTGACGCGTGTCCCACGGCACCGGCTGTCACAACGAGGTCGGGAGGTACCTGCTTCCCGCTCCCCCTTCCCCCCGCGGGACCATGGACCCGTCCCAGGCTTGTCCCCTGCACCAGGGACACCCTTGCACCCAATGAAGGCAGCTTGCAACCCAATGAAGATGATTTTCAAACCCACTGAAGACAAATTTCAATTAAATAAAGGCATTTTTCAACCAAATAAAGTGTATTTTACTCACCCGCCATCCCCGCGTCCTTCAAGCAGGGCCGGGGGGAGAGCAGCCCCCAGGCCGCGGCTGCCGCCCGGGCCCCCCCGCCGCCTCGAGCCCCCCAACGCCAGCAAGAGTCATTTCAGCCTCCCGCGCCGGGGGGGACACGGCCGAGACCCCCCCCAGCTTTGGGGCAGCCCCATTGGGGTCCCGCGCTGGGATCCTCCAGCCCCAGGTTCAAATCCCGGTGCTGGAGGGTCCCCGTCCCCTTCGTCACCCCCCGGTAAAGGGGATGGGGGGGTGGCCGTCCCCAAACGCCCCGGGCTGACCCCAGTCACACAGCGCCGCCCCCCCGCCACCCGCCCCAAGGACCAGCGGCCGGTGCAATCCATTAAAAAAATACTATTAAATAATACATCTGTAATAAAATTATATACCTTTGTTTCATGACATTTGTATGTGTGTGTGTGTGTTTTTTTTTTCCCCTCCTTTCTCTTTCAAAGCTAAAATTGCTCCAAGTCCCCTTCAGCTGGTGAAGTAACAGGAAAAGAAATTGTTTTTTTCCACTTTTTTGTCTTTTTTTTTTCCTCTTTTTTTGTTTTTATATGAACGGACAAAGTTTCATGGCAACAAACACAGCGGGATCCGTCGCTGGTCTGTGCACACGAGACGAGAAACCCAGTTATTTACAGCAAGACGAGGCCCCCGGGCAAGACCCGACCCCCCTCCCCTTCCCCAAAAAGGACCCTCGGACACGACGGGGACGCGGGGACACGGCCGGGCCACCCCCGCGCGACTGGTGTCTCCCTCCGAACCGGGAACGCAGAACGGGGCGGGGAGAAAGAAAAGACCAACAAAGAGGGAAACCAGAGAAATAAAATCACAGGGAAATTAAGGCATTAACAAAAATGACTTAATAAAGGCACGAATCCATCCCGGCGCCCGGAGGGGTCGGGCTGCGTCCCGGCGGAGACACGCGGGCAAGGAGGAAGCCCCGGGGGTCGCGTTCGGAGAGGGGGGAAAAGGGAGACGGGGGGAAAAGCAAAGGGCAACGTGGAAGCGCCCGGGGAAGCGGCAGGAGGGACGTGAGGACCCGACGACGACGGCAGCGAGGACCGAAGGGAGCGGGGATGCTGGTGGAACCGGAGGCTGCACAAGAGACACGACCGCAAACACCGCGTGGAGCTGGAGTCCGACAGGACGTGGGTTTTTTTTTTTTTTTTTTTCCCTTTTTTTATTAGAAAAAAAAAAA